GGAGGGGGAGGTAGGGGAAGGTTGGGGAATAGGAAGAGGGGTTGCAAGATGCTTTCCAGATGGGGGTGGATGTACGGCGGCACACTGTGGACGAGCAGGAGGAGAAGGGACGATGGCGGAAGAAGAGGATCAGGACATCGAGGCGGGGAAGGCGGGTGATGCTGATGACGAAGAGGGGGATGACGGACGACACGATTGTACTTGGCCTATGGTAATTTGAAGTTGGAGGAGGGACGACAAGTAGGAGATGTGAGAATGAGGAGGGCCTTTGACATGTGTGTTTTTTCTTTTTGTTTTGTTGTTGTGTTGTTTTCGATTTCTGCTTTCTGACTGTGATACAAGTACGAGTGACAGGCGAGTGTAGAGGGACGAGGAGGTGGGAGGAGAGAGAATGAGGAGTGGACAGGAGGGAGAGAGAGAGAGAGAGAGAGAGAGAGAGAGAGAGAGAGAGAGAGAGGGAGAGAGAGAGGGGGGGGGGGGGGGGGGGGGAGGAGCCGGGACGCTGTACATGAAGTGACTCTAACACATCCTGCTGCATTTCTTTTTTGTGTTATGTTTTCCAGGGAATCCTCCAACACGCTTTGGCATGGCGCCAGTGTTGCGGCTCACACAGTACAGATGCGTGATTGAATTGGGACGGCAAATGCCCGGCAGATAGGATGTTGAATAGCCCGTCATACATTACAAGACCTGCTGAAAACTGTGTGTCTGACAATCGTACACGACTTACCTCGACTACTCCGAGCAACTCTGAATCACATAGTCTTGCGCCACCGAACTGAGACTTATGTGCACGTGCACACACATAGAGCGGGTCTACCACCTCGTGTTACTCCTGCTGAACTGGCAAACGCCAATGTGGATACGCCAGACCAGTGAGAGAATGGTCCAACAGCGTCAAGTAATGTATACGTTGCTGAGGTTGCTGTAGGTGATGAAGACCAGCATCCTACCAATGCGGGTATTGCTGCTGAATGGTGCCTCCCTCATCACTGTCGCCGCCACCACCATCATCACCTCCTCCTCCACTACCACGATCACCACTACCACCTCCTCCCCCACCACTGCCACGACCACCACCGGGATCCACACCACCATCGCCACTGGCATCCCTTCCACCATCATCATCTCCATCGTCATCGCCACCACCATCCCTGTCGACATCTTCTTCTACATCATACCCCCAGTCATTTAACCCCTCCTTTGCTGCTGCTTCTTCCTTCCCTTCTTCTGCTTCGTCTTCTTCCTCCTCTTCTCCTCCCACTTTGTCATCTCCCCCGTCCTCCTCTACCTTGCCTGATTCATCATCTTCGTTATGAACACATTCCTGGTCAGATCAGTCGTCGAGGGCGACCCTTTCGTCCAAGGCATTTACCATGAAATTGGTCGTTGCAGACACCTCGTTGGCGGAAACGCTCCATGTCTCCACCACCGTCTCCAAGACAACGGCCTCGTTTATCCATGGAATAGTATAATCACTGTGCCCCCAGCAGGGAGATCTGCTCCGACACCATGCCCGCAACCGTGCAGAACGCCGACATCGCGCTCAATACACACTAGCCCGGAATAGTGCATGTCGAGTTCGATGCCAACAATGTGGCAACGACTTCTTCAGCATTACGGGCGTGTGTGTGCATCAGACACGGGGTGCGGCTGCCTGTGCAGCTTTTGCACGACTGGCAGCCACCTTAAGTACAAGTGCGGCTGATCAGCCTCCATTCCCTGCATCTGACCCGCTCATACGGAGCGTGTGCTAGAGCCAGTGCAGTTTCCACAAACGGAGGAACCTGATAGAAACGAGACCACATTGAATCTCCGCCTGCCGTGCAATCCGCAGAACTGAATGAATTGCCCCTGGCACACAAGCAGCAGAATCATATGATCTCATAGTGCTGCAGCGAGGCTATTGTGCGTACTATGCTGTCAATGTAAGTCTCCTCGCTTACAATTTAAACCCTTACACAGTTTCTGATTTTGCTGATATTGTCCGCTGGATAGAAGATGCGCACCGTGCTGTCTGCCCAGAGGGTGACAGTAGTGGTCCTGGAGTGACCATAGAAGTCTTGTCTATGGCATTATGGATAGAAGACTACAACTGCAGCCTGCTCCCCAAAACCACATGCCAGACATGAACTGAAATATTTGCGGGTACATCCTGCATAGGCCAGGAGATTTCAGCGCTGTGACCTTTGTAGATAATGGAGGTAGGGTGCGCACGGTAAGTAGCATTGACTCTTTCTATAGCCAAGTAGCAAATACGTACTCAATTTGGATTGTCCTTCAGGAAGAATATGTTACTCTGCACCCGCAAGCGCTTCAGTCTCTGGAGAGCAATCCGGATGTGCAATTACCTCCTTCCCCTGCACATGACCAACCAGTGTCCCCTCCCTGTGTAGGTCGGGCAGATTCTGCTCCAGACAATGAGAGAACCTTCTTAGAAGATGTTGGCTGTGCCCTTCCACTCTGTGGCCACACAGCCACAGTTCGGTTAGCATGTACAGTGCATAGTCTCTGCTTTGAAAACTCTGAAGGGATGGTCACTGCCAGCCTCTGTTGCGAAAACTGCGACTCTTTGTCTTCTGTTCATGCCCCCAACCCCCTAATCGCCTGCCCAATATGCCGTTCTGGCCTTAATCTGCTACGAACGTCAACCTGCCTGCCTTCTGACATGTCAGCAACATGCCATGTGTCATTCATGTTTCCAGGAAGCTGTCATAGAAATGATGCGTGGAATATCCACGATGCCATCTTCCACCACATCCTCTCGTAGCATGTCCCGCATTCAGAGTTGGGCATACAATTACTCCAAGCGCTATCAGATCTCCTTCTTTCTTGCCCGACGACCAGTGAACTCAACAGCCTGAGCAGGAAAATAGAGTACCATATGAGCCGCTTATAGAGCATTGTGCCGAAGGGGTAACACCACCAGAACGAACTGCTGCAGAACAAATCCTGCAGCAGCTAGACACCCTTGTTTTGGATGACCCCCTCTTGGCACCGTCGTCGTCGTCGTCGGTCTATAGAGAAGGAATCAATGCCGAAGAAACCCAAAAATCTTGCTCAATGTCGTTCTGTGATGATCCACCTGAGATTCGGCTAGCATGTGGGCTGCATGCATTGTGTCATGAGGATTATGAAGGCACAGACCGTGCGTCTTTCTGTTTTCATACATATGACGACAGTCAATATACCACTCACGTCTGGCACCCTGACATGTCATGTCCAATTTGTAGACAGGGCTCGAATGGCAATGCCTCTACAATTGCGGTTGGCATGCCTCTGTGTTCCTTGCCTGTTGGAGCCATGTTGCCTGCGATATCTGTCTACGCCGTGCCATTCGGTGCAGCAACTGCAACTGCGAGAATTGGATGCGATGCTTCCACAGTCCACACCCGAATTGGTGCTGTCCGGTCTGCAGGCATACTCCTCATCCTGCAACCTGAACACTGATTGACTTCTCATGTCGTTCTACAGTTGTCTGCTCCACCGGTGTGTATAGAGAATCTAGTGATCTCTCTCTCTCTCTCTCTATATATATATATATATATATATATATTGTCCTCTTCTCCCTCTCTGCCTACGGTTTACCGGGCAGTTCTATTTGACGATATATATGATGAGTCGGTGAAACTCCGACGAAACAGTTTGTCACAGCCCCTCGTTTGTTGTCCTCTTCTCCCTCTCTGCCTACGGGTTTACCGGGCAGTTCTATTTGACGATATATATATACGATAGTGTAATCAGTGAGGGGATTCTACAGACTGTTTTTTGAGGGTTCAGCCTCC